CCCTGGGAGCTGTGAGAACAAAGAAGAGAAAGGGGAATCTCTCCCCGCAGCCTCAGAAGCAGCGGATTAAAGCTCCACAATCAACTTGATGTACCCTGCATCTGTGGAATACATGAATAGACAACGAATCATCCCAAATTGAGGAGGTGGACTTTGAGAGCAAGATTTATGATTTTTTCCCCTTTTCCTCTTTTTGTGTGTATGTGTATGCTTCTGTGTGAGATTTTGTCTGTATAGCTTTGCTTCCACCATTTGTCCTAGGGTTCTATCTGTTCCTTTTTCTTTTTTTTTTCTTAAAAAAATTTTTTTTCTTAATAATTATTTTTTATTTTAATAACTTTATTTTATGTTACTTTATCTTATTTTATTTTATCTTCTTTCTTCCTTTCTTTCTTTCTTTCTTTCTTTCCTTCCTTCCTTCCTTCCTTCCTCCCTCCCTCCTTTCTTTCTTTCTTTCTTTCTTTCTTTCTTTCTTTCTTTCTTTCTTTCTTTCTTTCTTTCTTTCTTTCTTTCTTTTCTTTCTTTCTTTCTTTCCTTTCTTTTCTTCTTTCTTTCTTTCTTCCTTCCCTCCTTCCTTCCTTCCTCCCTCCCTTTCTTTCTTTCTTTCCTATTTCCTCCTACTTCTACTCTTTCTTTCTACTTTTTCTCCCTTTTATTCAGAGCCGTGTGGATGAAACGCTTTTGGTGCTGCAGCCAGGAGTCAGTGCTGCGCCTCTGAGGTGGGAGAGCCAACTTTAGGACACTGGTCCACAAGAGACCTCCCAGCTCCACATAATATCAAAGGGTGAAAACCTCCCAGAGATCTCCATCTCAACACCAGCACCCAGCTTCACTCAACGACCAGCAAGCTACAGTGCTGGACACCCTATGCCAAACAACTAGCAAGACAGGAACACAACACCACCCATTAGCAGAGAGGCTGCCTAAAATCATAATAAGTCCACAGACACCCCAAAACACACCACCAGATGTGGACCTGCCCACCAGAAAGACAAGATCCAGCCTCATCCACCAAAACACAGGCACTAGTCCCCTCCACCAGGAAGCCTACACAACCCACTGAACCAACCTTAGCCACTGGGGACAGACACCAAAAACAACAGGAACTATGAACCTGCAGCCCACAAAAAGGAAACCCCAAACACAGTAAGATAAGCAAAATGAGAAGACAGAAAAACACACAGCAGATGAAGGAGCAAGATAAAAACCCACCAGACCTAACAAATGAAGAGGAAATAGGCAGTCTACCTGAAAAAGAATTCAGAATAATGATAGTAAAGATGATCCAAAACCTTGGAAATAGAATAGACATAATGCAAGAAACATTTAACAAGGACCTAGAAGAACTAAAGATTAAACAAGCAACGATGAACAACACAATAAATGAAATTAAAAATACTCTAGAAGGGATCAATAGCAGAATAACTGAGGCAGAAGAACCGATAAGTGACCTGGAAGATAAAATAGTGGAAATAACTACTGCAGAGCAGAATAAAGAAGAAAGAATGAAAAGAACTGAGGACAGTCTCAGAGACCTCTGGGACAGCATTAAACGCAACAACATTCGAATTATAGGGGTTCCAGAAGAAGAAGAGAAAAAGAAACGGACTGAGAAAATATTTGAAGAGATTATAGTTGAAAACGTCCCTAATACGGGAAAGGAAATAGTTAATCAAGTCCAGGAAACACAGAGAGTCCCATACAGGATAAATCCAAGGAGAAATATGCCAAGACACATATTAATCAAACTGTCAAAAATTAAATACAAAGAAAACATATTAAAAGCAGCAAGGGGAAAACAACAAGTAACACACAAGGGAATCCCCATAAGGTTAACAGCTGATCTTTCAGCAGACACTCTGCAAGCCAGAACAGACTGGCAGGACATATTTAAAGTGATGAAGGAGAAAAACCTGCAACCAAGATTACTCTACCCAGCAAGGATCTCATTCAGATTTGATGGAGAAATTAAAACCTTTACAGACAAGCAAAAGCTGAGAGAGTTCAGCACCACCAAACCAGCTTTACAACAAATGCTAAAGGAACTTCTCTAGGCAAGAAACACAAGAGAAGGAAAAGACCTACAATAACGGAAGCACAGAGAGTCCCATACAGGATAAATTCAAGGAGAAATACGCCAAGACACATATTAATCAAACTGTCAAAAACTAAATACAAAGAAAGCATATTAAAAGCAGCAAGGGAAAAACAACAAATAACACACAAGGGAATCCCCATAAGGTTAACAGCTGATCTCTCAGCAGAAACTCTACAAGCCAGAAGGGAGTGGCAGGACATACTGAAAGTGATGAAGGAGAAAAACCTGCAACCAAGATTACTCTACCCAGCAAGGATCTCATTCAGATTTGATGGAGAAATTAAAACCTTTACAGACAAGCAAAAGCTGAGAGAGTTCAGCACCACCAAACCAGCTTTACAACAAATGCTAAAGGAACTTCTCTAGACAAAAACACAAGAGAAGGAAAAGTCCTATAATAACGAACCCAAAACAATTTAGAAAATGGGAATAGGAACATACATATCGATAATTACCTTAAATGTAAATGGACTAAATGCTCCCACCAAAAGACACAGATTGGCTGAATGGATACAAAAACAAGACCCATATATATGCTGTCTACAAGAGACCCACTTCAGACCTAGAGACACATACAGACTGAAAGTAAGGGGATGGAAAAAGATATTCCATGCAAATGGAAACCAAAAGAAAGCTGGAGTAGCAATTCTCATATCAGACAAAATAGACTTTAAAATAAGGACTATCAGAAGAGACAAAGAAGGACACTACATAATGATTAAGGGATCGATCCAAGAAGAAGATATAACAATTGTAAATATTTATGCACCCAACATAGGAGCACCTCAATACATAAGGCAAAAACTAGCAGCCATAAAAGGGGAAATCGACAGTAACACATTCATAGTAGGGGACTTCAACACCCCACTTTCACCAATGGACAGATCATCCAAAATGAAAATAAATAAGGAAACACAAGCTTTAAATGATACATTAAACAGGATGGACTTAATTGATATTTATAGGACACTCCATCCAAAAACAACAGAATACACATTTTTCTCAAGTGCTCATGGAACATTCTCCAGGATAGATCATATCTTGGGTCACAAATCAAGCCTTGGTAAATTTAAGAAAATTGAAATTATATCAAGTATCTTTTCCGACCACAACGCCATGAGATTAGATATCAATTATAGGAAAAGAGCAGTAAAAAATACAAACACATGGAGGCTAAACAATACACTACTTAGTAACGAAGTGATCACTGAAGAAATCAAAGAGGAAATTAAAAAATACCTAGAAACAAATGACAATGGAGATACAACGACCCAAAACCTATGGGATGCAGCAAAAGCAGTTCTAAGAGGGAAGTTTATAGCAATACAAGCCCACCTTAAGAAGCAGGAAACATCTCGAATAAACAACCTAACCTTGCACCTCAAGCAATTAGAGAAAGAAGAACAAAAAAACCCCAGAGTTAGCAGAAGGAAAGAAATCATAAAAATCAGATCAGAAATAAATGAAAAAGAAATGAAGGAAACAATAGCAAAGATCAATAAAACTAAAAGCTGGTTCTTTGAGAAGATTAACAAAATTGATAAACCATTAGCCAGACTCATCAAGAAAATAAGGGAGAAGACTCAAATCAATAGAATCAGAAATGAAAAAGGAGAAGTAACAACTGACACTGCAGAAATACAAAAAATCATGAGGGATTACTACAAGCAACTCTATGCCAATAAAATGGACAATCTGGAAGAAATGGACAAATTCTTAGAAATGCACAAACTGCCAAGACTGAATCAGGAAGAAATAGAAAATATGAACAGACCAATCACAAACACTGAAATTGAAACTGTGATTAAAAATCTTCCAACAAACAAAAGCCCAGGACCAGATGGCTTCACAGGCGAATTCTATCAAACATTTAGAGAAGAGCTAACACCTATTCTTCTCAAACTCTTCCAAAATATAGCAGAGGGAGGAACACTCCCAAACTCATTCTACGAGGCCACCATCACCTTGATACCAAAACCAGACAAGGATGTCACAAAGAAAGAAAACTACAGGCCAATATCACTGATGAACATAGATGCAAAAATCCTCAACAAAATACTAGCAAACAGAATCCAACAGCACATTAAAAGGATCATACACCATGATCAAGTGGGGTTTATTCCAGGAATGCAAGGATTCTTCAATATACGCAAATCTATCAATGTGATTAACCATATTAACAAATTGAAGGAGAAAAACCATATGATCATCTCAATAGATGCAGAGAAAGCTTTTGACAAAATTCAACACCCATTTATGATAAAAACCCTGCAGAAAGTAGGTGTAGAGGGAACTTTCCTCAATATAATAAAGGCCGTATATGACAAGCCCACAGCCAACATCATCCTCAATGGCGAAAAACTGAAAGCATTTCCACTAAGGTCAGGAACAAGACAAGGTTGCCCACTCTCACCACTCTTATTCAACATAGTTTTGGAAGTTTTAGCCACAGCAATCAGAGAAGAAAAGGAAATAAAAGGAATCCAAATCGGAAAAGAAGAAGTAAAGCTGTCACTGTTTGCAGATGACATGATACTCTACATAGAGAATCCTAAAGATGCTACCAGAAAACTACTAGAGCTAATCAATGAATTTGGTAAAGTAGCAGGATACAAAATTAATGCACAGAAATCTCTGGCATTCCTATATACTAATGATGAAAAATCTGAAAGTGAAATCAAGAAAACACTCCCATTTACCATTGCAACAAAAAGAATAAAATATCTAGGAATAAACCTACCTAAGGAGACAAAAGACCTGTATGCAGAAAATTATAAGACACTGATGAAAGAAATTAAAGATGATACAAACAGATGGAGAGATATACCATGTTCTTGGATTGGAAGAATCAACATTGTGAAAATGACTCTACTTCCCAAAGCAATCTATAGATTCAATGCAATCCCTATCAAACTACCACTGGCATTTTTCACAGAACTAGAACAAAAAATTTCACAATTTGTATGGAAACACAAAAGACCCCGAATAGCCAAAGCAATCTTGAGAACAAAAAATGGAGCTGGAGGAATCAGGCTGCCTGACTTCAGACTATACTACAAAGCTACAGTAATCAAGACAGTATGGTACTGGCACAAAAACAGAAAGATAGATCAATGGAATAGGATAGAAAGCCCAGAGATAAACCCATGCACATATGGTCACCTTATCTTTGATAAAGGTGGCAGGAATATACAGTGGAGAAAGGACAGCCTCTTCAATAAGTGGTGCTGGGAAAATTGGATAGGTACATGTAAAAGTATGAGATTAGATCACTCCCTAACACCATACACAAAAATAAGCTCAAAATGGATTAAAGACCTAAATGTAAGGCCAGAAACTATCAAACTCTTAGAGGAAAACATAGGCAGAACACTCTATGACATAAATCACAGCAAGATCCTTCTTGACCCATCTCCTAGAGTAATGGAGATAAAAACAAAAATAAACAAATGGGACCTAATGAAACTTCAAAGCTTTTGCACAGCAAAGGAAACCATAAACAAGACCAAAAGACAGCCCTCAGAATGGGAGAAAATATTTGCAAATGAATCAACTGACAAAGGATTAATCTCTAAAATTTACAGGCAGCTCATGCAGCTCAATAACAAAAAAATAAACAACCCAATCCAAAAATGGGCAGAAGACCTAAATAGACATTTCTCCAAAGAAGATATACAGACTGCCAACAAACACATGAAAGAATGCTCAACATCATTAATCATTAGAGAAATGCAAATCAAAACTACAATGAGATATCATCTCACACCAGTCAGAATGGCCATCATCAAAAAATCTAGAAACAATAAATGCTGGAGAGGGTGTGGAGAAAAGGGAACCCTCTTGCACTGCTGGTGGGAATGTGAATTGGTACAGCCACTACGGAGAACAGTATGGAGGTGCCTTAAAAAACTAAAAAAAGAACTACCATATGACCCAGCAATCCCACTACTGGACATATACCCTGAGAAAACCATAATTCAAAAAGAGTCATGTACCAAAATGTTCATTGCAGCTCTATTTACAATAGCCTGGAGATGGAAACAACCTAAGTGTCCATCATCAGATGAATGGATAAAGAAGATATGGCACATATATACAATGGAATATTACTCAGCCATAAAAAGAAACGAAACTGAGTTATCTGTAGTGAGGTGGATGGACCTAGAGTCTGTCATACAGAGTGAAGTAAGTCAGAAAGAGAAAGACAAATACCGTATCCTAACACATATATATGGAATTTAAGGGAAAAAATGTCATGCAGAACCTAGGGGTAAGACAGGAATAAAGACACAGACCTTCTAGAGAAACGGACTTGAGGATACGGGGAGGGGGAAGGGTAAGCTGTGACAAAGCGAGAGAGAGGCATGGACATATATACACTACCAAACGTAAGGTAGATAGCTAGTGGGAAGCAGCCGCATAGCACAGGGAGATCAGCTCAGTGCTTTGTGACCACCTAGAGGGGTGGGATAGGGAGGGTGGGAGGGAGGGAGACGCAAGAGGAAAGAGCTATGGGAACATATGTATAACTGATTCATTTTGTAGTAAAGCAGAAACTAACACACCACTGTAAAGCAATTATACTCTAATAAAGATGTAAAAAATAAATAAATTAAAAATAAAATTAAAAAAATAAAGATCAGTGACATATGTCTTTGTATGCCCACATACCAAAGCAAGAAAAAAAAAAAAAAATTGTTTTAAACAGCATCAGATCTCAGCAAATTTTAAGCAAGACAACTTTTCAACCCCTGGAAATAGAGTTTAAAAATCAGTTTTCAGCTAACCTTTAGACACTGTCTCCTTCCACCACAAATTAACATTTGAGTCCATCTCCCATCCCTACTATTGGAAAGTGGCCAGATGCCAAAAGTATCAACTGGGACACTGCTTTGTGTATTTTAAACATTTTCCCAAATAGCTGACAAAGCGTTCTTTGACAAAATAAATGTAAGTTACGCAAAAGCTAATCTTGACCAGGACAGTGACCTGGTATGATCCTGTTGACTTTTTCCTTCAACAGTATATAATCTCCTGGGGCTTCCCTGGTGGCGCAGCGGTTGAGAGTCCGCCTGCCGATGCAGGGGACGCGGGTTCGTGCCCCGGTCCGGGAAGATCCCACGTGCCGCGGAGCGGCTGGGCCCGTGAGCCATGGCCGCTGGCCTTGCGCGTCCGGAGCCTGTGCTCCGCAAAAAAAAAAAAAAAAAAAAAACAGTATATAATCTCCTGTACAGGATCAGGACGCTTGTCCTTCAGAAGCGCTGCTGGGCCAAAAGAATGACCAGCTGCTGCGCCACAGGCCGCTCGGCATCCTGCAGATGTGCTCAAACACTCCACCGCCGTGGGGGCCCAGCACCCAGCGCCCAGCCCACCGGCGCCCTAGCACAGCCCAGCAGGATTCCACTAGAGAGCAGGGCCGGGCATCTGCCCACAAAGGGTGGCACTGCCTGGCCTCAGCCACAGAAGAGTCTTTCTGAGGATTAAGTTCATAAAGCGCTTAGAAGGGCACCTGGCTCATAGAAACGTTGCCGAAGTGCGAACCTGCCATCGTTATCCTGCGATGGCCCTGTGCGCACCCACCTGCATGCCGACGATGGCGTAGATGAAGAACAGCATGGCGATGAGCAAGCACACGTAGGGCAGCGCCTGTAGAGACACAGGAGGGCAGGTCAGCTCCAGGAGGGAGGGCAGGTCAGCCCCAGGAGGGAGGACAGGTCAGCTCCAGGAGGGAGGACAGGTCAGCTCCAGGAGGGAGGCCTGCCCCCAGCCTGAGCCTCGTCTGCAGAGCAGACGGTGGCCGGGGCTCTGGGGCCACACTGGCCTCAGCTGACTGCAGACCCGCCCCACTGACCACCAAGCTACCGTCAACTTATTCATCTACAAATGAAGCCATAAAAGCCGCCTCAGCCCTTAGTGAGCATAAACAAGATGCTGTCCGTAAATCTGAAAGCGTCCTCACGGGACAACGGGGGCCACGGAGGTGTGGGCACCCGCCCCGGCCTGCACGACACGGGAGGGGTCAGGCCGCGCCTGGCCATGCGCAGCCTCACCTTGAAGGACTGGACGAAGGTCCAGAGCAGGATGCGGATGGTGTAGCCTTGGCGGAGCAGCTTGATGAGCCGGGCAGCGCGGAAGAGGCGGAGGAAGCTGAGGTTGATGAAGTTGTCCTGCGGAGGCAGCAGAGGCTGTGCCGCGACCTTCGGAGACCAGCCCCCCAGCCCGCCCCCCCAGCCCCCACGGGCGCAGGGCAGCCGTCCCCAGCCCGCCCCCCCCCAAGTCACTGCGCCCCAAAGAAAAGCGGGTGGAGAGAGGGGGCGGAACGAAAAGTCGCCGCTTCACGGTCTAAGCAGCAATCAGCCACCAGGAAACCTTCCAAGAGTGAAGCTTGTCTTTGCAAACCGCGTCTCATGCAGCAAATCAGAGAAACGCCCTCCACAGGGAGGGGCACAGGAGAGTCCCATGAAGCAGCCCCTGGCTGCCAGGCGGAAGGGGAGGGTGTCTGAAGCCAGGCCTCCAACACTGATGGCCTCTCACAGGGCACGGCCCAGCCGCCCAGGGGCAGGGCTACCACACAGCCAGCAAGGCCCCGGCCTGCCTGGGGCCCAGCTGAGAGGCAGGCCCTTCCTCCGGGCCTGGGCAGGTGCCCGCACGCAGGTCACCACAGGAGGCGTAGGTGGCGTCGGTCCTGCTGCCCACGCCAGGGAAGACACCTCTGCAGCCCACTACCCGGTGTCTGCCCCAGAGAGCCCAAGCCATCTCACACGGCCCCCTCATCCAAAGGGTCGAAGTCAGGCACAAACAAACCCAACCGTCTCTGGACTGCACGGATGACTTGGGAGCAAGGCTTCCACCCTGGCCCAGGGGCACCTGAATTCCTGGCCAGCCCTTTCGGGGGCACGGCCCTGCTCGGTGTCCGTGAGTAGGCAGGGGTGCTCGCGGGCCCGGGCGGCTTCCTGCCCTGTCTGCTTGGAGACCAGGTGCCCACGCGCAGCCTGAGGGCAGCTTCCCCACACTTGGCTGCTTTGAAATATGCAAGCAGCTCAGGCTTGACTCATTGTGCTGCCAGATGCAGTGGTCAAATACAGAGAAAAGAGAGCACAGGTGCAGCGGCAGAGCTCACGCAGGAGGCGGCGGGGCAGAGCCGCGTCCTCCCTCCAGGGCTGCCCATCTGGCCTTGGCTGGGACGAGGCATCGATGGAGATGGGCCTCACTCCGCCCCTCCACTGCCTGTCTCAGGGGCTGGCTTCTTTGCTTCCCACCAGGGTCTCTGGACTGTCTCTGCTGGCGAGGGGCTTACAGCTACCCTGGGGGACGGCTCCCGGGTTTTGGACAGTGCCACAGGGAGAGGGGGCAGTTGGCAGGCACGAGGAGGGATGACTGTGGTCCATATCAGCAAGCAGGCAGAAGTGGACCTTGGGGTGTGACCCTGGAGGGTGTACTCGTTTCCCTGCAGCTCCCTCACCGGCTCGTGCTGGGGCAAGAGAACCTCAGGGGTAGACAGGACGGATGAGACATATCCACACTCTCTGAGCCCCACGGGCCTGAGGACTCTCAGGTGAGCCAGTCGCCTCAGGAGGACGGGCACAGGGATGCAAGGGGGCACTGCCTACGGTGCCAGGGGACCCTTTGTACAAGACAGTAAAGCACAGCAAGGGGGGAGCTGCCACCTCAGGGGTGTCTGCTTTCAAACCATCTGCGCAGGTGAGTCTGGAGGGACCGAGACCGAAGCAATTTGCTCAGACGGTTGGGACAGACAAGATTTCCTGAAAATACTGGGGGGAAATATAAGCTTCTGGGTAAGAAGGAAGAGACGGAGGCCACAGCGGGCAGCGGAAGCCACTGTTCCTTCCAGTTACTGGATGCATGAACGCAGCCCCATCCTACTTTCTGTTGAGACCCAGGTCCCACCCCTCCTCCCCGGCTTCTCTCTCGGGGCTCCACGGGCACGTAGGAGAGGGTGCAGATGCCAACAGACAGACAGCCCTAGAGAGCCGTGAGGGCGGAGGTGACAGCAGCCACAGATGCCACAAGCACAGTGTGACAGGCTGAGTGCACCATGGCTGCACCCGTGCGCGAGCCGCCAGACACCACCATGCAGACTGCATGCGGGACAGCAGGGGCAGCAAGCACACAGCGGCCTCCCCCTTGCTGCGCACCGTCACCCCTGGCCTCAGCCAACCCCCTGGAGGTGGATGCAACATGCCCCGACCCCCCAAGTCCATGGTTTCTGCTGTACCCACGAGCAACCCCATCTACTTCCAAGCCAGGCCCCTCCTTATGGCCCCTGCCTCTGAGCCAGGAAAGGTCAGCTTCACAGCCCTCAACATGGAGCTGATTTACGCTGAGGGGACACTGGTCCCCAGCTCCACTGAGCGCCAGCTTCCACCTCCACACGATGGAGGTGTTAGGACATCATGCCCGGGGGCGAGGAACCCCTGAGAAAAGGAACTTATGGTGCACTGAGCACTGAAACGCCACCACAGAGGCAAACGGAGCCCAGGCCAAGGCCCACGTCTCCTGCATCCAAGCGCATCACTGCCTCTGGTCAGAGTCACAGCACAATGAGGTGCCCCCCCACACACTGTGCACGTGTTGGGGGACCACACACGTGCCAGGGATGAGGTGCAGCTGAGCGTGGGACAAGCTGCTCTCCTACTCAGCTTCGTTCTCAAGGGGGCCGATGATGGGGCAGAGACAGAGAGAAAGGAGAGAAAGCCTGTGGAGAAAGCCCACACACGCACAGTATCCTGGACGCTGACATGGGAGGCAGAGGAGGGCACAGAGCGGGTGGACGGGAAGGGCTGAGCAGAGGCCTGGTGCCACGAGCAGAGCCTGTGCGAAAGACGTGGCCTGGTATTTCGGCAGCATCAACAGCCTTTTCTCAAAACTCAAGCTTTTCTGCTCCGATTGTGAAACCCTTTATCACAAGCATTCACCTTCTGTAGCAGGAATCTCAGAATCTGCTACTTTGCACGAACTTGCAGTCATGGCCTCAGCTCACTCTGCTCCCAGCATCTTCTCTCCCCTCACCCGGAAGGAGGCTCCGTCCACACCACCTGCACGGGCTCCACACAAGCTCGCTGACCAGGGCACACGAGAATCAGCGACGCTGGCTGAGGGCCCAGCCCTCTGCTCCCTCCTGGGGCAGTGCCCCTCTTTCTACTCAGGCCAACCGCCCAGCCTGGTGCCCCCCAGCCAGGCGCCCACGGAAGATACGTCCAGGGAGGACCCTACAGGAGACCTTGTCAGAGGCCACTGGGCAGAGTGGAGTCCACTCGGTCTGCCAGTAGAGACAGAGAAGAAGGGAGATGACTGTGCAGCAGAAACCATGGACTTTTCGGGGATCAGGTCCAAACTCACATCCTGCAAAACCTACCCAATTCTGAGCCAGTCTCATCACTTACCTGCCTCTCACTCAGAAGCCCCTACCTCCTCTCTCAGCCCAAGGCCAGTTCCTGTGATCAGGTGGTCCCTGGGGGGCCCTCATAAGCCCCAGCTGGACCCCAGGAGCCGGGACAGTGCGTGAGAGGCCAGAGGGGTGGGTGCAGCTGGGCTCTGAGCACAGAAGGGCAGTGGCGAGGGGTGACAGGAAGCAGAAGAGAGGAGGACCGGAGCAAGCAAAGCGAGGAGTTTTAAGAACTGTTTAAAGTCATGAAACCAACCGTTTCCTATATGTGATGTTTTCATGGATGGATATTTGCGTATTATTTACAAATTGGGATGTTTGAGTGGCAGGCGCACAACATACAGACGGAGACATGGTTTTCGCATTGTATGTTGGTTGGGTGACGTGAGTCAGCAGGTAGGTGAGGGTAAATCAAGAACAGAAACAAAACAAGAGAAAATGAGTCACCAACACAAGCAAAACTCAAACTCTGAATACTTCACTGGAAATTTTTAGGATTTTGGTAAACTTTGCATATTTTGCTTAAAATGTACCAAATCAAAACACATTTTTGAAATCTGTAGGTTATGCAGACAGGGGCATCATTTGCATTTCTGTTTGTAATGCAAATCCAAAGATGACTCACAGACACTTATTTTTTTATTTCCAGGCAAAGAAATCAATGTCAGTTTTATGCTTGCTTAGAGCGCGTTCTCTACGTGACCCTGGTTAAGACTCTTGCTCTATGGTGATTTTTAAGTCGGGGGTGGGAACTGACACTCATATTTTTGCCTAAGGAAAAAAAAGTGCATCCACAAAGTAACACATGAAGTGACTACAATGGAGAAAGAAAAAAAGACACCGAAATCCACAAGACGGCTTCCTTTCACCTTTCCTCCTCCAGGCAGGACAGAGTGAAGACGGCCCTCTGAAATCACTAGTGGCCGGGGCAGCTGAGCTTTCAGACCAAGCAGCTTCTCAGCCCTCCCGCCAGCCCTGCTGGGCGTCCAGGATTGGTGGTGGCTACCCTGGAGGTCTTGCTGGGATTAAGTTCTCGAACATCTGCAAGCCGCCCTCCCTCGAGTTTCCAGCAGCTGAGGGACCTCTCTGTGGGGAGGTGCCCCTGGGAGACAGCGCCTCTGCGACATCAGCCGGGCACGCCTGCCTGCCCCTCCCGTGGGTGCCCTCCCAGCCGTCACCCCTCTGCCGAGGGGGCACACACACGCCCAAACCCCCAGGTCTGTGTCCTAGCAGTCGGGAGCCCAGTGTCTGGATGCCTTTGTCTGGGGCATAAAGACTCCTGTGCCCAAGGAGGCGGAGCGCCTAGGCAGAAACCACGCTGGGGAACTGGGTGAGAAGAGGTGCCCAGCGAAGGGGCGGCGCCCGGGCAATGCTGCAAGGCCAGCAGCCGGGGGAACAAATCACCGTGTTTTGTTGTTAAGATGGCAGCTTTCAGCTTTTTGCCTGGATTATTCAGATCACTGACTTTTCAAAACCATGAAACATCTCACGTACACACACGTATTTTAAATAAAGGTAATAAAATATCCATATATTCATCACCCAGCTTAAAAAACAGAATGTCACCATTACTTTGGAAGCCCTTCCTGTCTCTCTCTTCCCCAGATGTAGTAACTACCCTTAATTCTTGTTAATAATTGCTTTTCTTCACTGTTTTACCTCAGACTCTTAAAACACGTTTATACTTGCCTGTTCTTAACTCTGTGACGGGATTAGACTGTACGTGGCCCTCTCGGGCTCAGGCAAACCTGTGCTCTGACTCTGAGCAAACACCGCTTTGCGGAAGCATCCTCGCAATACGCGTGCCGTTCACTGTGCCAATAAACCACTTCTGCCGCCGCTGCTGCGAACAACGCTGCCATGAACATCCGTGTGAAACGTCTCCAGGTCCCTTTGCCAGGCACCCTGAGCAGGCACACACGCCCGCCCCTCCAGCAAGGCCGAGCCGACCGACACCCAGCAGCAGTGTCCACATCCTCGCCTACAGCCGGCAACCTCAGGGTTTCCGTTTGACAAACGCTGGGTGTGGAATGGCATCTCAGTGCCGTTTCACTTTGTATTTCTTTGGTTACAAGTAAGGTTGAGTATCTGTCTGTGGCCATTTGTGTCTTCTATTTTGGAAGATGCCCCACCGTACCTTCTGCTCCCAGAAGAGCCTTGCACGTTCTGGACACTAACCTCCACCGCGAGCCGGCAAGGCCGCCCTCCAGCCTTTTGCTCCCTACATGCTGGCCTCACACTCCTCCCCCACGGATCTCAGCCCGTCTCATCGTACAGGCTCACGACTCCTAGCCGTACGTCACTGGCCTGAGTCTCCTCTGGCTGCCCGCTGGATGACTCCTGGGAGGACAGCAGGGCGGAACTCTAACACGGACAAAGTGCAGCCGGACCGCCCTCGGCAAACCTGTTCCTCACAATTCCCTCCCTTTTCAGTGAATGACAGTCCACTTCTCCAAGCGCTCAGACGACAAAGTATGATGCCATCCTTGCCTCATCTTTCACACCCACGTCCGACCCATCTGCAGCGCTACCTGGAAATTACACCCAGAACTTGACAATGTCTGACCGCATCCCAGCTCCCAGCTCCTCTCCTGGCTCACAGCAGTAACGCTCGGCCGCACACGCATCCTCCAAGGCCCACTACCCAGTTGTCAGCACTTACATCTTTGTCTCTGAGAGCTTTCCCAGGCCAGGACACAATACCCAGGCCCTAACATTAATGAAGGGCGAACTGCTGAAAAAATAATTCTCTGGCCCCCTCCCCCCAGCAGCCTTCAACCCGCGGCAGACAGCGGCTGCTGGGAGAGCCCCGGGGTAGTAATGGTAGCTGACTTGATAGCGCCTTTCCCAGGCTGCCTGCCTCTCTGCTGGCTTCCAGGTGAACGACGTGCACCACATTCTTGTCTCAGGGTCTGTTTCTGGGGGAACCCGGCTGAGACAGCCCTGACTGGTCTCGCTGCCTCTGCCTGCGCCCTGCACAATATTCTCAACAAAGCTGCCAGGGCTGTGCTCTTAAACGCCAGATCGTGTCACTCCTCTCCACAAAACCCTCCAAATCCTCCCATCTCACTCAAAAGAAAAGCCAAGGTTTACCGACTGCAAGGTCTTCACTGTGCAGCCACAGCGCCCACTCTTTCTTCACCCCTGGCGGGGTCTCTGCACTCGCTGCCCCCCAGCTGTCACCTGCTCGGGTTCCTTGCGAGCCCAGACTTCCTGATCTGGGGTCGCCGTCTCAGTGGCACACAATCACAGCTCCCCAGTGTCTCACACCCCCTTTGCTTTTGCCTTCTCCCTGGTCACTGTCTGACACCATGTGTCTTTCCCATTAGAATGAGCGGGGATTTTCATCTTTTGTCCCAGCACTTAGAATAGTGCTTAGCACATGATAGGCACTGCATAAATATTTTAACGTGTATACATGAAGGAATGTGACGCAAATATCCTTCCCCTGTTCATGGATTGGCCTTTCTCCTTTTGATACACAGAAATTTTATATTATACAATCTTTTTCCAGTTATGGCTGGTGCTTTATATATATTTTGCTTAACAAATCAGTCCTTATCTCAAGGTCTTAAAAATAATCTCTTGTATTTTCTTCTAAGAGCTTTAAAGTTTCTGTCTCTGATATTTAAGTCTTTTCCTCCATTTGCAGTATTTTTGTGAATGGTGCAAGCCAAGACCCAATTCCTCTTTCTCCTGTACTGATCATTAGTTACGCCCACAGACGGTCACACACCGAGTTCCCACACGCAAGTGGGCTTGATTCCAGGCTCTTGGGCTACTCCACACGGTCTAGACTGCTACAGCTTTGCAGGAAGTCGCCTCCCTGGCACGGCACCCCAGGAGCACCTTCTTACTATTAAGTATCTTGGCTATTTGGGAGCCTTTGCTCTTCCTTATACATTTTAGAAGCAGCTTGTCAAATTCCAAAACAAAGAGACAAACAAAAAGAAAAACAAAATCATTGGTGTTTTTATTGAAATTGCATTGAATCTACAGATCAGTCGGGAGAAACTGTCATCTCTATGGCACTGACACTACTTATTAATTAACAACGTATAACTCCATCTATTCAAGTCTCGTTTAGCATCTTCCAATAAAGCTTAGTCATATTCCACAAAGAGGTCCTGCACGCCTACCTCGTTAGGTCTATGGTCAGGACTGCTGGCGCTGTAATGAGACGCAGCAAACTTACGTGAGCAAATCTCACATTTAATCCGTTTTAGATTACCCTGGATTTCACCCACAGACGGCTCGTCTTCATGGGCCATGTGCCACCAGCCCAGCAACAGCCCAGTGCACCGTGGAAGTGCTACATCCGGGGCCACACCTGGGCAAGCCTAGAGGGCACCGTCACACGACGGCTGGCCTGGCCCCCACACCGCTCACCTCTGCGGCACCACTGTCTCTTCCTCAGCTCACCCCTCCCCAGCACATCATGGGATGATCACTAAATGTCGAGGAAAGTTCCAACCTGGTTATGGAGGGACTGGCTTAATGCATTGGTGCAGGCCTCACCAGAGCCCCAGGCGGCGTTGGCCTGAAAGACAGTGGTGGGGCAGAGCTCTGGCGATGTGCCCGATCCGCCACAGCACGTGTGTGTGCGTGTGTGTGCGTGTGTGCGTGAAGTTGCTGGTGGTAAGGACCACAGGGTCCTAGGCAAAGGCTACAGCTTGGTCAGCCCTCTGGAGGGAATAAAGTTTGTGGCAGAGGCCACCTCTGGATGTGGGAATGGGCACCATGTGCAGGTCTAGGCATCACATGTTAACGTCCACCCCGGACACCTACAGCCGTAGGGACACGAAAACCCCATGCGCCTTAGGCTGTGTGGACAACAGATGTCAGCAAGCCTCTGTCCTCCCAGCCCCCGCTCACACGGCAGACCCACAAAGGCAGTGACTGTGACGGCTGGGATAAAGGCTGTGTCTGGCAAGGCTGATCCAGCCACGGCCGCTACTGAACACCAGCTCGTTGTGAGCAGAGACCACCTTTAGGCCTCTACAGGGAACCACGTCTGGAGCTGTCACTCAGCCACTTGGTGGTAAGTTGCCTACCTGAGAACCTTTCACCCAGAAGCAACAGTGATTTGTCTCAACGAGGATCACTCATATCTTGGGTGCGGGCCTGCCTCTGCTGATGCCCTAGCGTCAGAGATTGACCAACAGGGGATGCCACATGCCATCAACTCAGAGCAAGCGGAGGGGGGGGCAAAGGAGCAGGAGACCCAGGACCCACCGGCATGTCACACTCCACGTAACTCAGGAGGTGTCGCTCTGATAAAATGCTGAGATGGCCTCTTACAGGCACAGAAAAGAGCTGGCCTGGTGGGGCACCTCAGGGGGTTCGGGGTGCTGCACTTCAAGATGAACTGACGGCCAACGGACATACTGGGTGCCTGACCTGTAAACCTCATGGACCCAGGAAGCAAGGGCCAAAGCGGAGGTGGCCCCTGTCACCATGACTCCAGCAGCCCACTGGGACTTTGTGTCACCATCCCCACAAATTCAGGCTAGGCGTATCTCGGGGTCCTGACTCAGAGGGGCTGGAGACCACTTCCACTGTGGGACACAGGAAGGCCGTGGTGGCTCCTGTCACTCTGGGTTCCCCAGAGTTTCCACGCTGGCCAGGGTGTGAAGGGCAGAGCTGCCCCTGCACAGGGGCAGGGAGAAGTCTATCTGGAAATCAGGGGCTCCCGGGGCCTTTCTACAAGTTCCTGGGACCAGTCTGAACTGTGCCTGGACCATCACAGCAGCCAGAGCCACACAGGGTATGGCAAGCAGGGCCCAGGCCGCACAGCACAGAGGGCTGGGTCACCTGGCGAGACCAGCAACCAGAGCACCAGAGGGCTGGTCAGAGGTGAGGGGACCCCGGCGATGACGCAAATCCCCAGCACAGCAGCAGGTGCCCTGCTCCTCCTATCAAGCCCCGCCTCCCAGAAGTCGTGACCAGCACCACCCTGAAGACAGCAACGGGACCCGACGTGAGGTGTGGGCGGAGCTAGGTTGGGCCAGGGCTGCGAGCAGATGCCCCCACCCTGCACGTGGCCCTTCACCCGCAGCCGCGCAGGCAGCCAGAGCCTGCTTCGCCCGCCCTCGGGGCGCTCGGGTGTCTGGGAATCGACACCCCGGGCACAGCCTTTAGCCGATGACTGGTGGGCACAGAGGTAAGAACTCTGCAGCTCTGAGGTGTGACCCACCCTGTCTCCAGAGCCCCTGGGGGATGACCCGATTCACCGGCACCTCTGGTCCTTCTCTCCCCATCCACCTCCCCAAACCTCTCTCCACAGGTTCTGCCTCAGAACACGTCCTAAGACATAACTTTTCTAAGAACCCTCACCTTGGTGTCTGTTCCTAGAGAATTCAACCTAAGGAAAATAAATGTGGTTTTTGCCATTTAATTCGAACGTAACATGTTGTGCTTAAAGAATACCGCTTTATGACTCAGATTCTTTCAAATTTGTCGAGACAAGTTCATGTTCTAGTCCTCAGTCAGTTTTTAGATATAATCCATGTATTTTAGTAAGAATAAGAATCTCCAGCATGTGTACACACACACACACACACACACACACACACACACACACACACACACCCCACGTATATGTAAAACAAACTTAATACTTTAAAATATTCTAAATTCTTACTGGTTTTAGTTTGTATCTTTTTGGCACCAGTTGTTAGATATGCATGTATTAGATACACACAAATTTAGGAGATCCTTATCTTCACACACACACACACACACACACACACACACACACACACACACACCCCACGTATATGTAAAACAAACTTAATACTTTAAAATATTCTAAATTCTTACTGGTTTTAGTTTGTATCTTTTTGGCACCAGTTGTTAGATATGCATGTATTAGATACACACAAATTTAGGAGATCCTTATCTTCCTAGTCACTTGTTACCATGGAGCTCCCAGGTGATTCTCAGGCCACCAGCCCAGAAGACCTCCTGGGAACCAATTTCATATCCAAGAAAAAGCATTTGCCGAGAGGACACCCACCCTCTCCCCGCAAACTCATCCCCACACTCGCCTCTGGAGAGGAGCTTCCATCTCCAGAGCTCGCGGGGAATTCTGCTCCGAGCAGGCGCTAACGCCATCAGGGCCTGGAGGCTCAGTGAGGGAACACCTCTGGAAGGAAACCCCCTGGGGCCCTGCAGGGGCAGGAGATGCTACTTACCGCGATCTCTGTTACTAAAATATCAGTAATACTTCCCAACACAGTGACAAAGTCAAAGACATTCCAGGCGTCTCTGAAATAGTTCTGGAGAGGAAGAAGGCAGTTAGTGCTGGGGCCGGTGAGGGCTCTGCCAGACAAGGAGCTGCAGGAGGTGGCCTCTAGTCAAGAAGGCGGCGAGTGGACAGACGCGCCGCCTCAGGTGGGAGTGCACAAGGCCACGCATCAGAGGGAAGGAGCCTGGCCCCACCCGCTTCCAGGAGCTGGGCGGGGGCAGAGGTGCGGGTAGACCCTGGCAGCCCCCTCCCTGGGGCCCCTCCAGGGTCACATGTGTTCTGAGGGTTCAGGGAATCCCCAGCTCCAAATGGTGGGCCCCCTAAGGTTTGGGGGAGCCAGAATGCAGACACCTAAAGGCCAGGAGGGGCCAAGGCACGTACCAGCACCCCGAAGGCGATGATCTTGAGCACGCACTCCATGGAGAACATGGACGTGAACACGATGTTCAGACACTTCAACATCAGCTCGTACTCGTAGGGCGCGTCATAGAACTGCCCGGGGAAGGGGTACCGTTGGCCCCAGGCCTGTCTGCCCTGAGACACCCCACGGGGCTCACGATGACCTGTCACACATGCCTCCTGCACGGGGACCCCCTCCCGGTTCCCCTTGTCTCCCAGAAACTTCTCACGATCTCAGCCCACAGACGACTGGGGGCCCAGGGTTGCGCAGGCACCCTGAGCTGACCAGCCCTCGGGGCGACGCCCACTCCTGCGCATAGCCCAGGAGGCCAACCCTCCGCCGGGCTGGAGTCGGGTTCCCGCCCCACGGGCGCCGGGATCCACCACGCAGGCCCCACGCACCTTCATCATCAGCACCACAGTGTTCAGGGCTATCATAGCCATGATGAAATACTCGAAGGGCGGCGAGACCACGAACGTCCACGTCTTGTACTGGAACGACTGCTTGTTCTGGGGCATGTACCGCGTCAGGGGTCTGGCGCTGATGGCGAAGTCAATGCAAGCCCTCTGCACAGGAAGGAAGGGGCAGGGGGAGCTGGGACCCTGCGGAGCCCCGTGCAGAAGGGGAGCCCGCGAGGAGACGAAGTGGGAGGGGAGCCGCCTACCTCATTCTTCTCCAGGCTGCATTCAGACATGACCTTGTCCCCCTGCTCCTGGAAGGTGATGATGATCAAGGCCACAAAGATGTTGACGAAAAAGAAGGGGAAGACCACGAAGTAAACCACGTAGAAGATGGACAGCTCCATGCGGTACCCAGGGCTCGGGCCCTGCTCCTCGTAGGTGGCGTCCACCGAGTGTTTCAGCACCCTGGGCCAAGAACCAGCGCCAAGCATCAGGGGAGCCCAGGAGGACAAGGCCCCGGGAAAGACGAGACCCGCGTCACAGGTGAGGCTTCTGCGGCTGAGCCCAGAGACGGTGCCATGTGCAAGCCAGGCCTGCTCCTCAGGAGGGCCGTGGCTCCCAGCGGGGGCCTGTCTCGCCAGTAGGGCTTATACTCAGGGCTACTGGGGGAACCTCCTAGAGGATGCCTCAGTGTGCCTGAGGCCCTATCCCCTGGAGGAGAGGTGGGAGAGGTCCAGCAGTCCTGCGCTGCCCGGCTCTCTCCCACCTCACACCAGGTAACCTGCCCACACCCAGCTTCGCCTGTCACCAGAAAGCCTTGGGCTGAGCAGGGTCTCCTGGCAGAGCATCGATCCTGCCTTCTGAAGGGTGGTCTTCTCAGCCCCAAAGGAAGCCCCTGGAACGCACGCATCCCTTGGGCTCCCCTTAACTGCGGCCAGAGGCTAGCACAGGGAGATGCCAAGGGGCCCATCTTCCCTTCGGCCCCCAGCCACTAAACAAGGGTTTTCAGGAGGTCATGGTGCTGTGCTCTTGGCTAATCTCCTGCTCCCCAGGCTGCCCACCCTCGAAGGGCAGGGCCATGTCTCACCCGGTAAGTACAAGAGCCCGGGGGGTATTTGCTTAGTGACGGACGCAGAGTCTGCACTCCCCACTCTGGCTGCCCCTCTGCTCTAGCCTGACCAGCCGGGGGGCACTCACATGGGCCACCCTTCCCCCGTGGACACTGTGAACAGCGTCAGCAAGGCCCAGAGCACGTTGTCGTAGTGGAAGTCGTATTTCTTCCACTGCCGCGGCTGAGCCTCCACCTCCTCCTTCTCATAATCCAAGTACTGGCCCCTGGGAGTGGGAACACAGAGCAAGTCAGAGGTTAGAGACAAAGGGTCCAAATAAACCCCTGTGTCTGCGGTCAACTGAATTCTGAAAAGGGTCATCCATTCAGTGGAGAAAGAACCGTCTTTTCAACAGATGGTGCTGAAAGCACTGGGTATCTACAGGTAAGAAAATGAATGTGGACCCCGCCTCACTCCATGTATACAAATTAGCTCAAAATGGATCAAAGACCTAAATGTAAGAGCTAACACTATAAGACTCTTAGAAGAAAACACAGGGGGCCTCAGAAAAGAACAGATAAATTGGACTTCATCAAAATTGAAAGCTTTTTTTGTGCTTCAAAGGACATCATCCACACACAGAATGGGACAAAATATTGAAAATCATCTATCTGACAAGGGACTTGTATCAGGGCTATATTAAGAACAATTACAATCGGTTATAAAAAGGACAGGGCTTCCCTGGTGGCGCAGTGGTTGGGACTCCGCCTGCCGATGCAGGGGACGCGGGTTCGTGCCCTGGTTCGGGAAGATCCCACATGCCGCGGAGCGGCTGGGCCCGTGAGCCATGGCCGCTGAGCCTGCGCATCCGGAGCTTGTGCTCCGCGACGGGAGAGGCCACAACAGTGAGAGGCCCGCGTACTGCAAAAAGAAAAAAAAAAAGATATTTGTAAAATGAATGAATAGATGAATTAGTCTTGGAAGTGAGAGTTCATTGTAGCGCAGATTTCCATTGCAAGCTTGCTTGGTTGGGCAAAAAGGGCGTATGCGTTTTTTCCTGAATATATTCAGGAAAAAAAGACATTTTTGCAAAGAAGACCTACAAATGGTCAACATGCACGTGAAAAGAGGCTCCACATCGTGAATCATCAGGGAAATGCAAATCAAACCACAATGCGACACCACTTTATACCCACCAGCATGGCTATAATTACATTTTTAAAAAGGAAAATAACAAGTATTGGCAAAGATGTGGAGAAATCGCAACTCCCAGACACTGCTGGTGGGAACACAAAATGGTTCAGCCACTGTGGAAAACAGTCTGGCAGTTTCTGAAACTGATAAAGAGAATCATCATGTGACCCAGCAATCTCACTTCTACGTTCATACTCGAGAGAAATGAAAACACCTATCCACAGAAAAAGTTGTTCAAAGCAGCAGTAATCACAACGGCCAAAATGTCCACCAACAGATAACTGGATCAGTACAATGAGGTGTAACTTAAGAAGGAATAAACGTCTGGCCATTAAAGGGGACCAAGTACCGCGCTAGTGGTAGAAGCTGGACACACAAGACCCCAGATCACAGGATTCCGTTCATGTGTCCAGGACGGCATCCACACGGCACCACCCTCCCCCGCGCTCCTCCCTGAGGGCGCCTCTCCTGTCTGCTCTGCTGGGGCCCAAGGCCTCGGCGGGACGGGGACGTGGCTCCAACCCCGCGGCGGCCCTCTGACCTCAGGGCCCAGCCTGGATCTCAAGGGCCGACGGGACGCCCGGCAGGGGCCACGCGGAGCTCCCTGAGGTGTGCGGGCAGGAAGGGCCTGTCCTGCCGGGAGGCGCGGCGCTGGGGACGGAGGGGCCGCCCTGCCCGCTTTACCTGCAGTCCCGCTCCAGCTCCTTGGACTCGTCGGTGCAGTAGAAGAACTTCCCCTTGAAGAGCTGCACCGCGATGACGGCAAATATGAACATGAACAGCATGTAGACGATCAGGATGTTGAGGACGTTCTTCAGGGAGTTCACCACACAGTCAAACACAGCCTGCGGGAGGGCGGAGCCGTGAGGGGCGGGGCCCAGGCCCCGGACCACCGCAAGGGGCTGGACTGAGACCGGAAGCTGCCTGCCACGTCCTCCTCCAGAAGGGTGATCCTGGACTGGAGGGGGTGGGCAGGAGGTGCTAGAAAAGGCGCTGCAGGCAGGGGGGCCAGATGCCGAGGGGAACCTGGTGCTGGGGCCGGGTCAGGCCACTCTGCCAGGCCACGGGCTGACGCGGAGGGAAGGGACAGGGCCGGGCCGAGGACCATGCCTGGCCCCTGCCTATTGGTGGGAAGTGGGATGGGGGAGCGGTGATGCCGAGGCCAGCTCAGGACAGGGACTTGGGGCATGTCCATGAACCAGAGGAGACTCCCGTCTGTTAGCACTGCCCGGGCCTCCTGTCAGGGGCTCTCACTGTTCTCCAGTGAGCCTTTCCAGGCTGCCCTGGCCCTGGTTCCGGCTGGCTGTGCACAAAGGCAGATCCACGACCATCTCCCGAGACCCCACCTGGCACACTCCAGACACAGGCAGCTGCCTTGGCAGCGCAGACCCTGCCCATCCACCCCTGGAGCCTCCATCACCCCCGGAGCCGCCCCTTCACACGCGGCTCTAAGCAAACTGCCTGCCGTAACCCCACATTGCTTAGGGTCTCCACGGCCCGCGTGTCCAAGCTGCTCCGAACGCTATTGCACACAGTCTTGGAGGATTAAGTGAATTTAAATACAAGCTCAGCAACTATTAGATTGTAGCACAATTCTAAAGCCACACCCACGCTTCCGGGAACCCTGCCCTCCCCGCATCTCCCTGTGAGCCCACCTCCCTCCCTCCGCAGCCCCTTCCCCTGCACTACAGCTGCTGAGGAAACCCGCTGTCCCATCGGGCGCCCCTGGGTTGAGGAGGAGGAGCCTTACAAGACACTGCGGAGAATGAGCCCCTCAGGGAGGGTCACAGAGCTGAGAGCCCGCCCCACGCACGCGACACGGGGCCTCCCCTCAGCCCTGCTCATCTTCACCCCTCACGGGAAGCTGCAGGGTACCAGGCCAGTTACACCCCACAACGTACACCTACATGTACACGTGTGCACATGCATGGACACACACGCACAATCTACATGAGGGCACACACACACCCACGGCCCCACTCCAGACTCGCACCTTGAGCTTGGGCAGCCGCTTGATGGTCTTCAGCGGCCGCAGCACACGCAGGACCCTCAGGGACTTGATGGTGTTGATGTCTTTCCCTTTGGAGCCTCTAGAAGGGAGAAGCCACCCATGTAGACAGGCAGGGTGCACACCTGTGCCCAGAGGACCTGGGGACAGGGAAGCCTCGGCCCTGCAGGCACCACAAGCCAGTGCATCTCCCCCTACAGGCTGCCTGCCAAGGTGTCCTCAGAGTGGACAAGGGCCGGGGCCAGGTCAGCAGCATCTGGTGTCCAGGGAGAGCGGAGCTTCTGGATGTGAAGAGCCCCTCCCCACCGGGCCATGTCGTTCAGCGCTCCCACCCACAGTGGGAACACCAGCTTCCCCCAGACACCATGCTGAGACCCCCAGTGGGAATAAAGCGGGGAGGCCGCGCCAGGACTGCAGCCCCAGCCGGGGCTGGGCTTTGACTGAAAAGGTATTGCAGGTCAAATCTGATGGCCATGTCCTTGGTTTGGTTTCCTGGCTTTGAAGGCTTTTGAGAGCTCAGTCTGAGACTCCTTTTATGAAAATTTGTAACAAAGCAGCCTTAAAAAGAACTCAAATGATCAGTCACTCTTCTTGCTGCACTTATACAAATCATCAGGCCAAGTTTAGTACAAACAAATTATTAGTTTTACTATGATTATCTTTGATAAAAAAGTGGGGGTGTTGTACAGAGAAAAAAATGTTTGTCCCTTTAGAGAGATTAGATTCTAACCCTAATAGTCGTCTCTAAGGCTTTGTCATGTGCCTATAAACTGGGCTGGGTCCTGGATTCTTCCAGTTCCCTCACATACCTGGCTACGACTTTACCAAACTAACGTGTCCAATTTTCTCCCACCTCTCTGGTTTGAAATCAGTCAGAACAAAGACTGCCCTGAAATCTCCTTGGAAGGGACGGCACCAGGTCCTCCTCACTACCCAGATGGCAGTAAACTTCAGGGACTTGAACCTTGGATAAACATTTCACGGCTGAAGAATCCCCAGCATTCCCTTCTCTGGTCTGATCCCCAGGCCCTGGAGCAGAGAGGGGCAGCGGGCCACAGAGGGCCCCTGGCAGAGCCTCCCGCAGGTCAAGCCCCTGCTGGTTTCAGCAGGCTCCGTGCTGGACAGCTCCCAGGTCCCCAGCACCGGGAAGCTGGGGCTGCCTCAGTTCTGCTGCCCTGCCCCGGGCTACGCACAGCCAGGCTGGCTGAGGCGAGGACCAGCTCCCTCCGTGCTGCCCCCCACTCACCTCACCTCACCTGCCACCCACATGTCACAGAGAAAATCCATTTCCGAGCCTCCCTCAGGGATGAGGCCACCTCCCCGCCTGCCTTTCCCCTCCCCCTCCCTCTGTGGGAACCCAGAGCCTCAGCCATCCTTCAAAACAAAACCAAAGCACCCCATCTCATCCTGTTCAAATGCTGGAGACCTCCGAATCGAACTGAGAGGAAGAAAAGCAGCTGACGTGGACACAGATTACTTCGGCCCAAGACGACAGATCATGACTTTACACTTCAATCGTGCAACTCTTTTACCAACGGGGCTAGTCTTTCAGACTGCTGGATCCGTCACCAAAGATTCTGACCTATCCCGACTATCTAGATCAGATTTGTCTCCACTCACTAGGAGACCCCACCAGCAGCACCCATCTTTGCAAGGCATGTAGGAAGGCTCTTTATTTCAGGGGAGGGGATTCTAGTCCGACATACACTAAAAACCTGACTGACCCCTGGCTTAAATGGGTAAACGTAGCAAACGCTGTGAATAAATCCATCACTTGGTTTCAAGTAAATATGCACAAGGAGTTAGGTTAGGAGTAAATATGCGCAAGATATGATCAGAAACCTCTCCATAACTCTTGAAGACACTGCAGATTCCCCTGCAAATATCCTTAGACTCTCTGGCCAAAGTTGGTCCTAATAATAGGATAGCCCTTGGCTATCTTTAACTGAGCAAGTTGTCTATGCTGTGGCCAACACCACCTACAGTACCTGGATTGGCACTTCCGGGGAGGTTGAAAATCAGTTACGGAAGATCACTGAGCCAGCTACTCGGCTCAAATGTGTGACTGCTTCATGGGGTTTTTCTTTGATTGGTTTGGGTCTTGGGGACCATGGCTCCAAAGTACACTTCAAACATTAGGAACTATCCTGCTTATAATGCCCTTGATGTGTTTGTGTTTGTCATATTCTTTCAAAAACTTTAAATACACGTTTGTAGCTGATAACCACTAAGTAAACGGTCTCCATTCTGACTGGAATGTCAGAAAAGCAGCAAAGGAAATGACCAGCATAAGGGCTATGAACCTGGAACTACGATCTGTGAATGTCACAGGGGTTAAGCAAACACATCATGATCTATGGATCATGTCACAGGGGTTAAGCAAACACATCATGATCTATGGATACCACATCAAAGATCAAAGCTGCAAAAAATTACACAGCAGGAGCTAAGAGTGGTGCTAATGCCTGTGAATAAAAAATATTGCTGCCATATCAGTAAACAAAGGATGTTGCAGCCATCAAGCCACCACATTACAGCCACCGGATGGTGAGCCCTGAGGGAGCTCAGGATGGAGGCAGGATGCCCCCCCATCTAGCTGTCAGCCACCCCACTCCCCACGGGGCACCTCAGGAGACTCAGGATGAGAAGCCCAGGATACTGGCCCAGATAGCTGAGGTACATATCAAAGGAATGATTCAATGAGCCCAGACTCTTGCATTTCCCATATAAAGAAAAGCACTAAATCCCTTAACTTGAGATGCCTGGTTTTCTTTAGTTAACAGTAATCTTTTGATATTACGACTACCTGGGCTCTGTTGCAAAAACTCCTGTATATCCTGGCTCCCCCCTGCCTCTTTGGAGCCGTCCCTCAGAGTTGTCTGAGATGCTGTGTCCCGGGCTTAAGTCCTCAGTTCTGTCCACCAAACAAAATGTAACTCTCAACTTCTAGGTTGTGAATGATTTTTTAGTCGACACACCTAAAATTTTGATCACATCTCTCAGTTGGGCTGATACTTTGATCAGAAGGGGAGAATTGTTAAAAAAAAAAAAAAGAGGAGGGGGAGGGGAGGGGACGAGGAAAAGGAAGAAAAAGGAGAAGGAGGAAAAATAAACAGAAGCAAGAGGCCCAGAGCGGAGCCACGTGTCCCCAGGACAGCAACCAGGACTGAACTGCAGTTTCAGCCTTTCCCAGGAATGGAATTTCTGGACTTTCCTGGTCAGCACCAGTGAAGTCACCTGGCCTGAAACAATCCTTTCTTTTCTTTTGTTAATAACCTTGTCTGGCTCCCTTTCTACAAAGGCCTTCAATTTTGTACAGCCTCCATTGCGTACAGCCTTTCTACTTACTGGACGGGATACTGCCTGTTTCATGAATCACTGAATAAACCCAATTAGACCTTCAGATTTACTCAGTCGGATTTTGTTTTATAACAGAGGGTCGGAGATGCTGGGCATTTCAGGGAGGCGCTGTGGGAATGAAAGAGCAAGAAAGCCCTGTTTCCAGGGGAGACACGTGGGAAAGTGTCTCAGGGTAGCCGACATCCTGGCTGCCAAGGTCACACAGCTCCCACCCAGAGCGGGCACTGCCCTCGGGCCCAGGCACCCCGCCCCCAGCCCTCAGTCAGGGTTCCCTGCTCACCAAAGGGGGGGCCACGCCCAGCTCCAGCCCCCAACCCGGCCCCCAGAGGTGAGGCAGGGACGTGTGGCCCTGGGGACATGGCTCCGGGCAGCATGCAGCCCAGACAGTGGCGGGAAATGAGCGGAGGTGAGGCATGGTGATGAAGCAGCCCACGAGGGGCCGCAGCGTGCTGTGGCGCGCGGCAGTGTGAGGGGACAGAGGGAAGGCATTACCCCATGAAGCTCCTAGCGAGAGTCCAGCAACAGGAGACAAAGAGAAGAGAGTCAGTGAGGAGGCCTCCCTGTGGGCTCAGGGATGAGCCCATCCCTCCGTATCTGCATCCATCGAGGGTCTTACTTATCTCTGGATCTCCCCCCACCACCTCCGCCAGGTCTCCCCCCTGCTCCACCCGAGCACCCAACGCCTGCCTCACGCCCGCCACTGTGTAGGGTCTGAGGGAGCCAATCCAGGCCCGGCCACAACAGGGCTGAGTGTCGCTCACTAGGGAGCCACAGAAAATGGCGGAGCACCCCGACGGCGGAGACCCCCAGCTGCACCCACCACCCACACTGGCTGACCAAGCAGGGCAGCCACGTCCAGGCACGGAAAGGTTCCTGAAGGACCCAAGAGGCAGACACCATAAGCAGAGGCCTGCCTATCCAACTTCAGAGCCATGGGGTGCGTCAGGCACAAACGAGCCTTGAGGTCCTCCCAGCCCCACAGCCCAGCCCCAGGCACAGAGGGACTGACTAGAGACGGCCATGGAGGCCAATGGACCCCTTCCTCCTTCACCCCGCACACTCATCACGGCTCTGGGGACTGCAGCCCAGCAAGAGTCAGAGCCGACCGGGGTACTTACGAGAAGGCAAACGCCACCAGGGCCCCACTGACCACAACGAAGTCCAGAATATTCCAGAGGTCCCGGAAGTAGGCACCAGGGTGCAGCAGCAGTCCCAAATCGATCATCTTTAGGGGAACAACACACTTTAATAAACAGAATATTTCAGAAAAGAAAGGCAGAGGCAGAGCCCAGAGACGTGGTTAGGGGAAGGGTGCTGCTTCATGTCACGTCCCATCAGGGGAGGGGACACAGCCCTGATCATGCCTATCATGAAAGGGGACACGGCTCAGGTCACATCCTGTCAGGGGAAGGGGTCACGGCTCAGGTCAATTCCTGTCAGGGGAAGGGGTCACGGCTCAGGTCACGTCCTGTCAGGGGAAGGGGTCACATCTCAGGTCAATTCCTGTCAGGGGAAGGGGTCACGGCTCAGGTCAATTCCTGTCAGGGAAGGGGTCACATCTCAGGTCAATTCCTGTCAGGGAAGGGGTCACATCTCAGGTCAATTCCTGTCAGGGAAGGGGCCACAGCTCAGGTCAATTCCTGTCAGGGGAAGGGGTCACGGCTCAGGTCAATTCCTGTCAGGGGAAGGGGTCACGGCTCAGGTCAATTCCTGTCAGGGAAGGGGCCACGGCTCAGGTCAATTCCTGTCAGGGGAAGGGGTCACGGCTCAGGTCAATTCCTGTCAGGGGAAGGGGTCACGGCTCAGGTAATGGCCTCTTAGAGCCTCAACGGGTGTTTGGATCTCCGTGCCTTTGACCCAATGGCCCTGCATGGTCATGACTGGCTGAGATCCTCCTTGGGCCCCCCGCTCCTGTGGGGCCTGAGTGAGTCTCTCCTCCGTCGCTGGGCTGCAGGCACAAGCCGCCCGGAGCACACCGCCTGCCAGACCCTCGGAGTGTCAGCCCCGGGAGGCAAGAGGAGGAGCTGCTGGATTCTGCCCCTCCTGCAGCGGCACCTTAACGTCTCTGGGCCTCCGTGTCCTCGTTCGTACAAGGAAACGACAACGCCGCCCCCAGGAATTTGGGAGAGAATTGAAGCCAGGGCTTGTGTACACAGAAGCCACCCTGAGTCAGCACGTGGGCACCCCCCCCCCCCCCGCCCCCCGCACGCCCCCCGCCCGCCCAGCCCTGGCGGAAGGGGTCACGGCTCAGGTCAATTCCTGTCAGGGGAAGGGGTCACGGCTCAGGTAATGGCCTCTTAGAGCCTCAACGGGTGTTTGGATCTCCGTGCCTTTGACCCAATGGCCCTGCATGGTCATGACTGGCTGAGATCCTCCTTGGGCCCCCCGCTCCTGTGGGGCCTGAGTGAGTCTCTCCTCCGTCGCTGGGCTGCAGGCACAAGCCGCCCGGAGCACACCGCCTGCCAGACCCTCGGAGTGTCAGCCCCGGGAGGCAAGAGGAGGAGCTGCTGGATTCTGCCCCTCCTGCAGCGGCACCTTAACGTCTCTGGGCCTCCGTGTCCTCGTTCGTACAAGGAAACGACAACGCCGCCCCCAGGAATTTGGGAGAGAATTGAAGCCAGGGCTTGTGTACACAGAAGCCCCCCTGAGTCAGCACGTGGGCCCCGCCCCCCCCCCCGCCCCCAGCAGCGGCGCCGCCCGCACACCCGTGTGGAAAGCACAGGCCACTTGGCAACCCCTAGAGGAGGAACGAGGGTCACAACAACACGGCCGTTCTCCATCTAGGACCAAACACCAGGGAGTCCCACCTGCCGCGATCTTTGGGCCTTAAGGCCACCGCCCTGTCCCTGCTCTCCTTGCTCCAGCCGAGGCCCCGGCCTCCCCCTCTGCTGAGACTGCCCTGCACAGACTGGGCTCACACCGCACAGCAAGGGAAGCCTGTCCCCCTCAGCGAGAAGGGTCTCCGTTAGCAGGTAGTGGAGACCAGGGCCAGCGCCTGCGAGCTCTCCTAAGGCTGACGTGACGCTGTGGCGAGTCCTTAACAAACGTGGCCCTGTGTCTCCATGAGATACAACCTCTACCTGCAGGCTGATGTGCCCTCATGTCACCACGCATGTGTGCATGCCCTGGGCACACTTGCCACGTGCCTCCATCTCAGTCACGAGGGGGACGAGCAGAGCCCCGCGGTCACCAGGGCAACCACACATCTCACCTTTATCACCATCTCAAAGGTGAAGACGCCTGTGAAGATGTAGTCCATGTACTTCAGCACCTGGAACCAAAAGGAAAGGCTTTTCTCAAAGGCGAGGCCAGGAGCTCGAGCGGGGGCAGGAGCCTGGATGACAACGCATCAGCCTGGGGCCCGTGGGCAAGGGTCTGGGGAGGGGGGCGGGCAGGCCAGCGGCCCCTGAAGCGGCAGCCCTCCCTCCCGTGCCGGGCACGCCCCGCTCTCCCGTGTCCCCAGCGCCCCCTCTGCGGCCCGACGGCAGCGCTCACATTGTTTCTGGGAGAGTCTGTCTGCACAGGGTCCTCAGCAGCCAGGGCGATGCTGCTCAGGGCAATGACCACGAGGATGCCCATCTCAAAGTACTGCATGGTCACGATGCAATGGCAGAAGCGGCGGAGCCTGGAGAGCAAAGCATGGGCCGCCTAAGGCCCGCGGAGGGCTGGGCGGGCCCCTCCCCGTAGGAAGAGCTGAGCTCTGGGAAGCGGCCCTGTGGTCAGGAGATGGCGGCCAGGTGACTGATGGGGACGAGGTTCCCGGGAAGGCAGGTGGCGGGAAGGCTGCAGAAACCCTGGGCAGGGCCAGCCCACCACGGCTTGCAGGCCAGGTTGGTCTGGCCCGTTCGCTACATGAAGTTCCACTGGGGCCCAGCCAGGCCTGCTCGTCTACCTGCTGTGGGGCTGCCGTGCCCTGGACGGGCTTCCAGCTCTGCTGTGGGTGGGGGAAGAGGCCGAGTACCAACAGTCCCGTGGAGAGCAGGTGCCTCTCGAGCCCCAGTGCTGGGCGCGGTGCCCCCGTCGGAGCCACCAGAGCTGCGTGTGTGCACCTGCCCGCCTCCACTCACCGCTATCCTGCTCTGTTCAGGCACATTCTGGGCTGGGACACAGTGGCGAACAAGACACCGGTAAACACAAAGCAACAGGAGATGCTCAGGTGTTGACACACACTACGACTCAGCAGGAGACGGTGACCAGGAGGCCAGCAAAGGCCCCGCAGGGGGAGAGTGAAGCCGATCCTGGGGGATGAGCGCAGGAGGCAGACGTCGCTCCTGCCACCCCGAGGCACGTGCTCACAGGGGCCCCCCTCCTGCCTCTGCTGGCCCACCAGCCCGTCCAACCTGCTCCTCTCAACAACGCGGAGTGTTCCCAACGGCACCCACGTCTCTCTGTCCCCGGAAGGGAATGGACCTTATGCCTGTCTCCTCCTCAACCCGACCACCGGTGTCCAGCTCCAGCCCGCACACTCCCCGGAGCTGCCCTTCCCAGGCCCCCGAGTGACCTGCTGGCACTTCTCCCTCCTAATTGAGATGCTTTTCCTTCCACTTCCCCGACGCTCCATCTCGGGCCCTCTTCCATCCCAGCCCACTTCCTTCTAATCAACAGCTGCCGGTCCATCTTGTGGCTGAGTTTCCACCCTCGCTCAGACCCCCAAGTCCCACGGCCATGTGCCACCTGCCAGCTGCCCCGGGCTCCACAGGGTCTGTGCTCACCACCGCCCAGCTTGGCCGGGCCCCCAGCCGTCAAGCAGAAACCCTGGCTGCCATCCTTCACATCTCCATCCCCTTCCACATCTAATTTGCATCAAATCCTGCAGATCCTGCCTCCAAAATTTCTCCCCAAGCATTTCGCTCCCAAACCTCTCCACTCCGGCTACCCTCACCAAATCACCACCAACTCTTCCTGAAAACCGCGGCCACCTACTAAACAGCCTCCCTGTCTCGTCTCCAGTCCTCCCACCAAAGGGCTCTGCTGAAGTGCAGTCTAACCAAGTCACCGCTCACCCGCAACTGTTTACAACCTCTCAAGCGTCTCAGGGCTCTCGGCGTCACCTCTGCTTCTCCACCGAACACACAACTGCGCCGTCTGCCTCTGCGCTTTCCCACGCAACTGTCGTGAGCTGTTCTGAGCCTGATGTCTTTCACCTCTGGGCCACTCTCAGTTCTCTCCGCCCTCCAGGAACACTGGCTCCTCCCTCTTCATCTTAACTCTTCACCCTTCAGGTTTCACCTGAGATCTCTCACCTCCTCCAGGAAGGCTCCCCTGACTCTCCCCACCTGCTCCAAGACACCAGACCTCCCTGCTTTACCGTCCACATTGTACTCATTTGACGGACACCACCCGGTCGGTGCTGGAGGCCTAGGCCTTATCCGTCTCTACTGCCATCTTACTCCAAGCCCCTAGCAGAGCAAGCTCCCCACAGACGTATGCTGAAAGGAGGAACGTGGGGAGGATGGACGACGGGGGCTGGTGGAAAGACTGCTGGATGCCCAGTGCAGAAGGGCTGGCTGGACACGTGGGTAAAGGACGGAGCACGAGCTCCTCAGACCCTGCTGCGCTGCCCCCCTGGGTGGTGTGGTTCCGCCTTTGCTCTGCCTGCATCTCCGCCTGGTGGGCTCTCACGACCCCCCGCCACGTCTCTGTTCCAATCCCACTTCATGTCAGCAGCCCTCATCGTCTGCATCTCCACTCCCCGCTTTGTACTTCCTCTTAGCCCTTCCGTCCATGAACCATCTCATGTCCCCTCCCTAACGTCCTGTCTGCTGTCTGCCTCTCCACTCGCTTGTAAGCTTAAGAACGGACGGGGCCCTTGTCCATTCTGCTCATGACCGCGTATTCCCAAGCACCTAGAACGCTGTCTGGCACATGAACATTGGCTGAGCTAATGAAGGCAGGTGGACTGAGGAGTGGATGAGACTCACGGTGGTGTAAACAGAGGGGAGAAACTGTGCACAGACACAAGTGACTGTGACGCACACCTGCGGGCTCTGCTGGAAGGTGGGCGGAGGGCAGCACATATGCACGGTGGATGTAAACTGGGTGCGTGTGTGCAGAGGTAAACTAAGGCTGCAGTGGGGGTTAAGAACAAGGCCCTGGGACCAGCTGCCTGGGTTCAAATCCCAGCTCCGCCACCGAGACGGACGGGCTGTGTGTCTGGACACCGGCCTTCCCTGTGGCTCCGTGTCCTCATCTGCAAAGTGAGGTGACAGTAGTGTGTGCTTTGTGGGATGCTGTGGTGATCAATCAGGATATTAATACATGTAAAGGTGCAGGTCACGTCTAGCACACGCTGGTAGCATGTACACATGGATCATGGGCCATGGACAAGAGGACGGCACAGGACACGGGCTGGTGACGAGACTCACAGGTTGGTGGGGCTTAAGCAGAACATGGAGCTGTAAGGGACGATGGGTCGGGGGCCGCCCCTCATCACGTCATCAGCTTCCACCTCCTTCTTCCCTTCTGCTTGGCTTTCCAGGTCCACGTTACCACCTGCAAGGACACGAGGCCACCAAGTTAGGGGGTGTGGCTCACAAACCCACATCACGCAGGTCTCGCCCCGGGGCGACGGACACGCTCCCAGCTCCAACCCCACAGGTCTTCGTGGACCCGCCCAGGGAAGGGCGTGCAGCTAAGAACACAGCTTCACATGAGACCCCTCCGATCACAGTCAGGCCACCACCGAGGTGAACGATGGCAGGGTCGTGCCAGCACTGAGGATCTGGGCCATCTGCCGCAGAGATCCAGAGACCCTTCCTCACCTCTCCCTTCCCCAGGGCTGCTGGGGAAACAGCATCAAGCCTAGCGGGCGACCCTGGCTGTGGACTTCTCCGCTTCCCTAGGGGCCATAAATCTAGATGTTCTAAGAACACCAAAGCCGCCTTCAGCCCCAGAGACCAGGGCCAGTAGGTGCCCCCATCCCAGCGCAGGGCTCACCCCTCGAGAGAAGGCATCCCGGGCTGCCTGGTGAGAGCTCCCACTGTCGCTGCAGGGGGTTGGGGCAGGGCCAACAGGGCAGCAAGGAGAGGGGCCGGCCTGGCCTGAAGCCGCTCTCCTGAACCTGATGGTCAGGCCTGACCCGCCACACAGGGCCCGCAGTGGACTCTGACCCAGGGAGGACGCGGGCACTGCCGTCGCCCGCACACCCGCTTGGCCCTTCCTCCTCGCTCTCCATCGCCCCCCTTCCCTAAGGCCCATCCTCTGTGCTATCAGCACCCCCTGCTCCACTTGGCACCCACAAATCAAAGTCCCCAGGGTTATTTTGGCCGTGACCACTGTTTTTAAGTAGATTTTGCTGTTCTGCATAGTATGTTTCTCACAACCGTGTTTCATTTTTAACTATCCTAATGTATGTTTCCATTCTTGCGGGTAACAGTTGCTGAGACCCAGGGATGCCAGGGAGGACAGTGCAGTGACTTGGAGCCAATGCCCACTGTCCACCTCACTTTTACTTCTTGGAAGAAGCATAAAGGCAGAAATGAGGGAGGTTCCCTCCAGCACGTGTGAAGACGAAGGCTCTAAGCTTCTCCCCTGGCTGCCGGCCACTCTGAAGTCCTGCAGAGAGCTGCCGGGCCAGAGAAAACAGTCTTGACCCAAACGTGAAACCAGCTTAAGCCACAGCAGCTGCGATGCCTCCTAGACTGTCAGCTGCCACCACCCGGCACCATTCAATTCCCGGCTGAAGGCATAAATTGTAGCATCTTCTAAGAAAGCAACTGGGCAATACTTATTTAAAGTAAAAAATTCGGTCTATTGATTTAATTTGTGCAAGATTATCTCCTAAGGAAATCAAGCATGCACACAAACCATCTGTATTCACAAAGGTGTTTGTTATTAAGTTCTTTTACAATAACAAAAACTATGAAAAGTGTAACCACAGGAGATCGACTAAGTGTGCAGTACTTACAGGAAGCATCATACTATGGATATTAAAAATGCATACAAATAGTTTAAATGACTTATCATAAAGGAGAAGCTTATAATACGGTAAAAGTTAAAAAAAAAAAAAAAGACAGGCTACACACTTGTATATCCCAGATGCGCTCAACTGTGAAAAATAACATACACAGGGAGAGAAATAACACCAAAATGACAGTAGCTGTGGTGATCTCCGAAAGGCTTTCTGATAATAATCCTAATTCTCTTCACTATACTTTTAACACTAAAATTTTTTTTTTCTGTGATGAGCATGTGTAACTTTTAAATTAAGAAACATTTATTATTTTAAAACCACAGCTTTTCAGACTCTTCCACAATAACAATTAAGCAAACCCAAGGACAAGTAAACTGGGGAAAAGGAACCAGTATACACTGAATGAAGCATTTTTCTGCTCAAAAGAAGTGGAACAAAGATGCCAGAGCCTGGATGAAAACGCTTCCTCTGAAATAGATTTACTACCACAACAAGAGCAGAAATCATCAATTAAGTCAAAACAGACCAGGAATAAAGGGAGAGGATCAAAACGAGGACTACAACAGACTGAGGAAATATCCTGTTGGAAGCTGTTTAAAAAAAAAACTAGACAGTAACAAAAATTAATTCATTGAAACAGAAGACAATCAAGCCAGATGGCCAGATATGGGGGAGGGGGGTGGATAAAGAAAGGAACAGAACGTTCACTGAAAACAACATGTGCCGGGCTGGTCCAGGTGCTTTATTCTCACAACGGCACTTACTGGCACGTAGTATTACCTCCAGTTTGCAGATTAAGAAACTGAGGCTGGGGCTTCCCTGGTGGCGCAGTGGTTGAGAGTCCGCCTGCCGATGATGCAGGGGACACGGGTTCGTGCCCCGGTCCGGGAAGATCCCACATGCCGCGGAGTAGATTTCAGGAGCTTTCACCCAAAAAAAAAAAAAAAAGAGAAAGAAACTGAGGCTGAACGGAGGAATTACATTGTGGGGACATGATCGACCAAAGCTGGGGTGAGGCAGGAAAGCCGAGTGAGGCACCACGTTAAACTGCTCCCTCCAGAGGACTGAAGGGAGACTAGGCGGGTGGTGCGCTGGGCTTCCAGGAAAGCACAGGTAAGTCCTCTCTGACAAGAACATCCCTCATCTGGCCCACAGAATCCCCACCGACCAAGGCAATCATTTCCAACTTGAAGAGAACTTAAGCCTAATGTCCCAAGGCATCCAACATGTACAAAGAATTTCTCTCCTACAGCTATGTACCATCCTTGGGAGAACTGAAAAAGCAACCAAACAATTCTTTTTCTGTAGGGCTTGATTATCAAACAAAGCCCACTTCAGAAAGGGTGGATTACGGTCAGTCATATATGAACCCAAAAGAAAAAACATCAGCAAACATACAAGGACCAGAAAACAAACATCACCCCCATACAAGGTGGGTGAAAGACAACAGAAACAAGTAATATATATATAAAACCCCCAATGGACTTCAGATATAAGTACCTTTAGATGAGCACTATAAAAGAACTAAACATAAATATGTAAAGAAATTAAAAAAAAATGAGCCTTTAAAAAATGAACAAGCAATAGAAGTCTATAAAATTGACCTATGACAGAGAGGCTTAAAAAGGACTCATCCTCCTACTAAAAACAACTATAAAAGCTGAAAAAAATACATAACTGTTTAAAGGCACAGGGAACCAGCTGACACGGACAGAACCTGAGAAGCTACAATCCTTGGGAGAAAGGAGGCACGAGGCGACCCCTGTGCACATGGGGCCATTTTCCCATTTTTAGAAGCAGAAAGCAACATGCCTACTAGGAGGAGGAGTAAAAGACTGGAGTTTGAGGATGACAAAGTGTCTGGGAATGAGGGGCGAAATCCCAGAGAGGAGAGAAGGGCAGAGAAGTGAGCCCCTCTGTCGGTCCCGATTAATTCCCCTCCAGTCACTGCTGCACATGAGCAAGACAAGGCTGGTGTCTGCCAGAAGCAAAGGGCCTCGAGGAGCATGCAGGGCTGAAGACGTGATAGTGGGCGCAAATGCAAACAGAGACTTAACTTCGCTATCATTTTGCACTCGGAGCGTTCTTGTTTTTTTTAGTGTTCTGGTTAAAGAGTTGCATATCTTGAATAATTTGCTCTTAACCTAACTTTTTCTACAAGGCCTATTATTTTCAATGCATGGCATTTTCAGAAATGCACACATAATGTTACAGCAGGAAGGTCTGTACTTCAGGAAGACAGAAAATGATATTAAAGGAAGGTCTGCAATGTAAGAAATTGGTAAATCTATCAATAAATAAACACAGTCTCTATAAAGCTGTTGGGAAGGAAGAAAATTTTCCTCTACGTTCCTGCGTTCTTCTGACTGGTCTAAGAATTAAACTGACATTGAGATTAACAGGAGAAAATCAAATTTAACTTCGTACATACGGGAACCACACATACGTGAGAGGTTCAGACAGAAGGGTAAAATGAGGTATATACACCACCTTAAGCTAAGGAATGGGATAGGAGCCTGGGGCTTCCAAGGACAGGAGGGTCATTCATTGGACAATATAAAAAAGGGCAGGTTTTTGGTAATTAGATGCTTGCCCTGCCATACAGATGGGGCCACTTAGATAACATTTATCTCTGGTAATAACTCTTCCCTGGGAAAAATCCCCAATTTCAATTCTTCTAGGTAGTTAAGGGAGGGGCAGTTGCTTCTCTTGAACCCACAGGGACTCGACTGCCCTTAGCTCAAAATAATCCTCAAGCAAAAGTGACACATTCTGGGGAGGGTTCATCCTGAATGCCTACAAAGTCAAAACAATATCTATTTTGTGGGGGAGAAAAGGACTAAAATGCTGGATGCTAACAAGGAAGCTGGGGGAAATGTGATTGCAGCTGCTGTTCTAAGGTCTTACTTAATAAAATAACTATAGATTTTGTTATGCATGCATGATAGAATTATAAGATAACCACTTAAAGAAAAACAGAAAAATAATTCATAGTTTATAAACTAATATAGAGGGGAAAATGTGACACGAAAGCAAATAAACAACCAATTGTTCAATACTAAAAAGCAAGGAAAGGAGGAAAAAAACATAGGAAAAATGGAACAAATGTCACAACTCCAAGTAAACTAATAATCACAATACATACAAGCAGACGGAACCTGGTTACTGACTGACACACATCATCCAGATGGAATTTTTAAAAATACAGTTATATGTAGTTTCCAAGAGACAAGCCTAAAATCGAGGCCACATAAAGGCTGGAAGTCAAAAGATGGGAAAAGATACACTTGGCAAACGTTCATTAAAAAAAACAAAATGAAACAAAACTCAGGTATATATTCACATCAGAAAAATACAATATGAGAAAAAATCATTATTAGAGTTAAAGTGGGTCAGCAGAAGACGACAAAAAGTTCAGCTCCAGTGAGACACAGCAATTTTAAATATACATAAAGTGGCTTAAAATATAGAAAGCAAACATATATATTTTAACATAAGCTTTTTTTTTGAAAAAAGGAATAAATAAAAGAAAAAGCCTAACAAAAGAGATTCAGAAACACATAGTTACTATTTTAGAAAC